TATTGACACCTTACCGAAAGTATTGAATTATTATTCATATTTTGTTACTGAAGACTAATATGCATCATCATTTTAATTAATAATTAACAAAAACTTTTAGATATACAGAAAATGTCAATAATTCAAATGTCTCTTAATAAAACAAGTGGAACAGAAAATACGACAAAACAACTACCGATTCGGCCAACCAGGAACCAGCATACCGTTCTCTCTGCGGAGAACACTCGTGAACCCCGAAGTGCAATCAATGCCTGTTAACTTTTCCCTAAGAAGGGTTGACTATGCATGGTCAGATGACAAAGCTTACTAATTCTTTAAATTATTATAATATTGCAATAATAATACATGATAATTAAGTACATTTAAAGACTAAGATAACTCATTGTTGATAATTGTCCATAATACAAGGGGATTAAGTACAGTTAGATTTTGAAATACCTAATTGAATAATACCCTTTTTCAGACGAATCTTAAAGCCGTAATTATATTGATATTCTTGAGGCAGCTTCGTTCGTCATTAATCCGTAGTTTGGGGATTTAAAACAGAAAGTGAAAATGAAAAGTTTCTTCCCCGTATCGAAAAATTCTACAGGACTCAGTGTACTGGGCGAAAACGGGACTGCGTTTTTCCATACGGGGAAGAAAGCTTTCTAAATGCTTTCTTTTCAGACTTCAGATGGTGCTAGAATAATAACCTGAATTTGCACTATACTGATATCATTGACATTTAAATATGCATCACCACTGGAAATAGAATGTAAGAGCAAATTATTTGGCAATCTGACTTTAAATGCTTTAAATAATTGTTTTTCGGGAATATATCTAGATTGTGTTAGAGAAAGATTGCTGTGAGCTTTATCGGATAAGAGATAGATAGATAGGAAAAAGTGTGTGGAAAAAAAACTAGTGCTTAAAATTTACGGAATAATATTCCCATTAACCAAAATTCTAAATAGACTTTGCACTTTGCACTCTACATATTAGGCAATATAGCTTTAATTACATTTATGGTTCTATTTTACTCGCTTATCAGAGCAATTTATGAAACAAATGCACATCATTAATTGCATCTAAATCCTAAAAACCAAGTCTTCAGGCAAAATGTTTATAAAAAGAGGTTCCTTCAAATATTTATTCGTTACGGTCTAAAGTTAAATATTTAAAGGCAAATCGCTTTAAACTTATCTATGGATTAAGTAATTAAATTATGTAGAGTAAAATACAACTGGTGTTTCAAATTTATTACTTTATTTATCATTTCGGAATGGGATAATCCAATAGAAAAATGACAACTTGTAGATGTTGATCACGATAACACCTTATACAATAACTACAAAAAGTCATATATATATATATATATATATATATATATATATATATATATATATATATATATATATATATATATATATATATATATATATAGTAATGAAAAATTTATTTATAAAGACTTATCACCTATCTTTCTCTCGTTTGCTTTAAACATTTAAAGTATATTCTTTTTTTTTTACCTTTGATCATTATTTCAGCCTTGTTACTTTTTTCCATTTTCAGTGTTAGAGAGAGAGAGTGACGAGGTTATGAAAGGGACAAATATTAATAGCAGAGAGGAGAGATGTTATTGGAATTTTCATATTGTCATAATCTCGTCGAAAATACAATAACCAGACAAATATATATATAAATTTATCTTTCAGATGCTGCCGCTACAAATGCCTGATCTAAATATTAACTCGGTTGAAATAAAAAAAAACTTTTCTTAATGAGCCCTTTCCTTCAGAATCTACACGCTACGACGTCTATTGTCTGTAAAGTTTTTATTTCAATCGAGTTAATCGTAACTTTGAGCGATAGCTTGCATCAGCTTTACCACTGTAAATGTATATATCTATTTATTCTCATAATATTAATTATTATGTCTAAGTTGCCTGCGATGCGATGAGGAAAAACATATGTCATTTAGATGATGAAGATGCTTAAATACAGCAGAGTCAAAAATACAGGTATACACACAGGTTCACCTTGAGATAATGATGTTTCAAAAGCAGAGTTTGAATATACCGCTAATTCGATTTTTCACATAAGGTCGTCGTGGTGGTTGAGTGGTTCGAGATGTTGCTCAGAAATTTCGAGAGCCACGTTCGAGACTGTTCCATGCCAAGTGTGGAATCACTCGTAGGCCCCCACTTTTAATTTACATATTAATTTTTATCTCTTTTTTTTTTTTTTTTTAATATTGTACTTCACTTTTTATCTTTTAACCTGAAACATCGAAAATCCTGTTGTGTTTTTTGTCTCAGTTGCCTAGTGCTCGAAAGAGGCTAACCATTCTCATTACCTAACATATCTTAATATGTACAGCCTATCATAACTCTCTCTCTCTCTCTCTCTCTCTCTCTCTCTCTCTCTCTCTCTCTCTCTCTCTCTCTCTCTCTCTCTCTCTCTCTCTCTCTCTCTCTCTCTCTTAATTCGCACACATACAAAAATTGGAATTTACAAT